TGGGTCTAGTGGCCGGAGACAGTTTGTCAGACGACCCCCAAACACTGAATTCAAGCCACAGTACACTGTGAAGCATGGTGGTGCAAGCATCATGATATGGGGATGTTTCTCATACTACGGTGTTGGGCCTATTTATCGCATACCAGGGATCATGGATCAGTTTGAATACATCAGATTACTTGAAGAGGTCATACTGCCTTATGCTGAAGAGGAAATGCCCTTGAAATGGGTGTTCCAACAAGACGACCCCAAACACACCAGTAAATGTGCAACATCTTGGTTCCAGACCAACAAGATTGACGTTATGGAGTGGCCAGCCCAATCCCCGGATCTTAATCCAATAGAAAACTTGTGGGGTGACACCAAAAATACAGTTTCTGAGGCAAAACCAAGAAATAGAGAAGAACTGTGGAATGTAGTCCAATCATCCTGGGCTGGAATACCTGTTCACAGGTGTCAGAAGTTGGTTGACTCCATGCAACACAGATGTACAGCAGTTCTCAGAAACAGTGCGACTACAACTAAATATTAATTAAGTGATTCAAAGGAAAGCAAAATCTTCAAACATTTTTCAGTTTATATAGTGAATGTTTGCAAAGAAGAATACAAACACTGCTATTTTTTGAACAGTCTAATTTTCACTTCTCTTCATATTTTTTTTTTTTAGAGGAACAACACATTTGTTATATTTTTTTCTTCATGTTTTGATTTGGAATAGAATGTGTAGTGTTCCCAATGCATTTGTGTGTATGGAAATAAAAGCTATTAGAAGGATTTTGAGCTTTTATTCACTTTTTTTCAACACACTGCTATTATTTTGAACACAACTGTATATGTGTGTCACATTAATTCCTTTTGATGGTCTCTATGTGCAAACTCATTTACACAAATATTAAGTGGCATAAATTATATATGACATAAAAATATATGTGACAAAAATAAACAAATTATACAGTCAGGTCCATAAATATTGGGACATCGACACAATTCAACATTTTTGGCTCTATACACCACCACAATGGATTTGAAATGAAACTAACAAGATGTGCTTTAACTGCAGACTGTCAGCTTTAATTTGAGGGTATTTACATCAAAATCAGGTGAATGGTGTAGGAATTACAACAGTTTGCATATGTGCCTCCCACTTGTTAAGGGACCAAAAGTAATGGGACAGAATAATAATCATAAATCAAACTTTCACTTTTTAATACTTGGTTGCAAATTCTTTGCAGTCAATGACAGCCTGAAGTCTGGAACGCATAGACATCACCAGACGCTGGGTTTCATCCCTGGTGATGCTCTGCCAGGCCTCTACTGCAACTGTCTTCAGTTCCTGCTTGTTCTTGGGGCATTTTCCCTTCAGCTTTGTCTTCGGCAAGTGAAATGCATGCTCAATCGGATTCAGGTCAGGTGATTGACTTGGCCATTGCATAACATTCCACTTCTTTCCCTTAAAAAAACTCTTTGGTTGCTTTTGCAGTATGCTTTGGGTCATTGTCCATCTGCACTGTGAAGCGGCGTCCAATGAGTTCTGAAGCATTTGGCTGAATATGAGCAGATAATATTGCCCGAAACACTTCAGAATTCATCCTGCTGCTTTTGTCAGCAGTCACATCATCAATAAATACAAGAGAACCAGTTCCATTGGCAGCCATACATGCCCACGCCATGACACTACCACCACCATGCTTCACTGATGAGGTGGTATGCTTAGGATCATGAGCAGTTCCTTTCCTTCTCCATACTCTTCTCTTCCCATCACTCTGGTACAAGTTGATCTTGGTCTCATCTGTCCATAGGATGTTGTTCCAGAACTGTGAAGGCTTTTTTAGATGTCGTTTGGCAAACTCTAATCTGGCCTTCCTGTTTTTGAGGCTCACCAATGGTTTCCATCTTGTGGTGAACCCTCTGTATTCACTCTGGTGAAGTCTTCTCTTGATTGTTGACTTTGACACACATACACCTACCTCCTGGAGAGTGTTCTTGATCTGGACAACTGTTGTGAAGGGTGTTTTCTTCACCAGGGAAAGAATTCTTTGGTCATCCACCACAGTTGTTTTCGTGGTCTTCTGGGTCTTTTGGTGTTGCTGAGCTCACCGGTGCGTTCCTTCTTTTTAAGAATGTTCCAAACAGTTGTTTTGGCCACGCCTAATGTCTTTGCTATCTCTCTGATGGGTTTGTTTTGTTTTTTTTTCAGCCTAATGATGGCTTGCTTCACTGATAGTGACAGCTCTTTGGATCTCATCTTGAGAGTTGACAGCAACAGATTCCAAATGCTAATAACACACTTGAAATGAACTCTGGACCTTTTATCTGCTCATTGTAATTTGGGATAATGAGGGAATAACACACACCTGGCCGTGGAATAGCTGAGAAGCCAATTGTCCCATTACTTTTGGTCCCTTAACAAGTGGGAGGCACATATGGAAACTGTTGTAATTCCTACAACGTTCACCTGATTTGGATGGAAATACCCTCCAATTAAAGCTGACAGTCTGCAGTTAAAGCACATCTTGTTCGTTTCATTTCAAATCCATTGTGGTGGTGTATAGAGCCAAAAATGTTAGAATTGTGTCGATGTCCCAATATTTATGGACCTGACTGTATATGATATAATCATGACCACAAAACATAAGTCCAGTGTAATTAATAATAAATTCCAAAAAAATCTTCCTCAATGTGAATGCGCTGACTCCCAGTGCAGAGACTGCGGACCGTACAGGGGACGACCAGAGACTACCGTACAGGGGACGACCAGAGACTGCGGACCGTACAGGGGACGACCAGAGACTGCGGACACCGTACAGGGGACGACCAGACAGACTGCGGACACCGTACAGGGGACGACAGAGACTGCGGACACCGTACAGGGGACGACCAGAGACTGCGGACACCGACGACCAGAGACTGCGGACACCGTACAGGGGACGACCAGAGACTGCAGACCTTTGGGGAGGAAGGGGGAACAGGTACCTGAATTTGACAGGTACCTGCTCCCACTTCCGCGGCGTTGTCCTTCCTTCTTCCTGCGGCAGCTTTTGTGACAGCCGGGTGCCCACTGCGCATGCGCGAGAAGCGCTGCGCTTTGTGAATGGCCCAGAGCCTTTTGAGACCTGTCGTGTCCCAGAAGACACCAGACCATTCACAAAGCGCCGCGCTTCTCACGCATGCGCAGTGGGCACCCGGCTGTCACAGAATCTGCCGCGGGAAGACTGCAGCGCTGGAGCGAGGAATAGGTAAGGTCCTGCAGGAGAGAAGAGCTGAGCGGCTGGCCCGATAGTCTGACATGGTGGTGGCGGAAATACCGGACCGACCGCTTTACATTCGCTCCATTCGCTGTTTTTTTTTACAGTGCGTTCGCGAAAAAATACGGTATGTATATTGGTACATAGGGGAGCTGGAATTTAGAAAAAAAAAAAAAGGTGAACTTATTCTTTAAGTGGTAATAGTACTTTGCAAAAAAAATTAGTTTTAAGGGGGGCTAAGGAGGAGCTAGAGCAGCACAACATAACCTTTTTAGGGTGAAGGTTCACTTTAAAGGATAAGTTCACTTTTTTTTTTTTTTCTTTCTAAATTCCAGCTCCCCTATGTACCAATATAGCATTAGTCTACTTATTTTTCAGAAATTCAAAAGCTTTCCCTTTTTTTTTTTTTTTTTTTTTTTTTTCTTTTTCTTTTGTTTTGTAGCCATCCAGCAGTGGAAGAGCGGCAGAACTTCTGGCTAAGGAAAGTGGCACAGTCCCGGGGTTTATCGGGTTTGGAACATCTCAGAGCGATTCAGGTTATGTCCCTGCTGTGCAGGGTGCAGAAGAGGTGGACAGTCTCGTTGATGCTGACTTCCGAATGGTGCTGCGCAAGCTTTCTAAGCGAGACGTCACCACAAAATTAAAGGTAGGTCAACGAGGACTCATTTTTAGCAAGATGATATAACGAAGGGCACTTTCAATCTCTGTGTTACGTTTAATGCACGTTTAGGTGGCTCATTCATTTTGAATGGTCTAACATCACACTTTGATGCACTAAATAATGGACCTGACTTTTATTTTTAACGTAGCTCACCACAATGCACAACATGTACATGGTGGAGCACTGTTGTGTGACTGTTATACACTTTTCTTATAGTGTTTGTGTATTACTGTGCCACTTGTAGGGAAAATACATCGTGAAGATGGATCTGGAAGGTCTCATACTTTAAAATAAGCACTCTACATTAATAACTACAGCTAAGTGGATGTAAGGCTGACCTAATTTACATTATTAAGTGCCTCTTGTTCAGTGCAGTTATTCATATGTTGAATGAACCCTGTGCTCTGCAAAGCCATTCTGTCATAGTAGTGTATTGCTTCTACTAAAATGATTAGCAACTCTGAGGCCTCATACACACTGGGCGTTTTCCCAGTTCTTCTAAATGCCTTTTTTCCTGGTAGGAGTATAGCAGTATCAAAAAACTTCTGCAAATGCTTTTAGGCACGTCAAGTGCTTGTGCATTTTTTCCTTTCATTGGCCAGAATATTAATTTACTCTGGCCATTGAAATGAATGAACGCCCAAGCGCTTGCCGTGTCTAGTGCTTAAATGCATTTATACCCATTTAGGCACATCAGGCGGTTTTCTGTCAAAATGTTGTTGCTCCTTAACATTTTGGCATGGTGGTTTTTTTTTTTTTTTTTTTTTTTTTTTTTTTTTTTTTTTCCCTGCTTCTAAACATTCCTGCCTATAAACGCCTGAATACAGCTTTATGTGCATGAACACATGGGCTAACATCAAGGCGCATTTAGAGACCGAATCAAAAAAAGCAAGACCCTTCTAGAAGCGCCGTTTGAAACTCCCAGTGTGCATGAGGTCTGATGTCAAATATTTTTAGTTATTGGCAAACCTATTACTGTTTTGTTATTCCTGTTTGTGTCCAAAATTAGTGATGTCCAAAGTGTATTTTTTATTGTACAGGCAATGCAAGAGTTCGGAGCAATGTGTAAGGAGAGAGAGATAGAGGCAGTCCGGGGAGTCCTACCGTATTGGCCCAGAAACTATTGCAAAATATCTCTGGTATGTAAAGTGTAAATGAGCTGTTTAATTTGTGTAGTAGCGAGAAAAAGCTCAAAACGACAAGGTTAGATATGTATGATGTTAGCTTGTTCAGCTAAAAAAAAAAAAAAAAATTGTAAAAAAATGCAGGTTCCTCTGGAAAACTCTTCTGCTTCCACTGTTGCTACCTGATAGGATAGTGTGTTGGCATGGTCAGGATTCCTCTCTAGATTTTCTGGTTGATACAAAATCTTACAATCAAACACACAGTACCCCACACTAAATATTCTAAACGATGTTCAGCTGTAATTAAGGTGTCTCCACAGTATATGAGTTCAGGTAAAGCTGTATATTTGCTGCACTCCCCCATTTAAGTGATATACTAAGATCCAACTGAATAACATAAAACAAAAGAAACCCTTGATGAATATTATTCAAGTGAACAAAAAGTGAAAACTCGAGAAATATTATAAACACCAAATTGCGAGTATTGTGGAAGTCCATATTCAAATCTGACCATCAAATTGCAAGCCTGTTAAAGAATGGATACAACCCTTAATCATCCAACATCATATGCTCTAATATCACAATGGGTCATCGTATAGGTGATAATGGGCAACCTCTACATCAATCCCCACTAACCCATAAATATTTCAGTGGATATGCTATAACATGTAGCATGAAAGAGGAAGAAAGAGACTCGTACATAGTGTAAATCAGCAAGGTAATATCAATTTACTGAATTGAAAGCAGAGTTCCACTCAAAATTGAAACCTCTGCTTATCTGCCTCTTCCCCACCTCCGCTGCCACATTTGGCACTTCTTAGGGGAAGGGGAGAGTGGGTACCTGGTCTTGACAGGTACCCGCTCCCACTACCAGGCTTAGTTCCCCGCAGTGAAATGAGCCAGTGGGTCACCCCCTTTCCCCTGCAGCCCTCTGAGACATTTCACAGGTGCCAGAGGACTGCAGCTCATTCACAAAGTGCAGTGTAGTTCGTGCATGCCCAGTAGGAAACTGGCATCACGGCTTCACTGCAGGTTTCCCTTTAGTCAAGATGGCAGCGCCAGCACTCAACAGCCGATTGAAGAATCGGCTCGAGGTGAGGACACCACTGGATCCCTGGACAGGTAAATGCCCTGATATTAAAGTAAAGTATTTGTAGCTGCTGACTTTTTATTTTTGGGAGGGGGGGCCGGAACTACTCGTTGGCTCCTAAAAAGCTCAATGCGCTTTGTCACAGATGACATCACAGGAGACTCGCAATATACTACTAGACCTTACATTGTGAATGTAAAGGGTAGAGGAGGTAGACTGTTTCTTCTAATAAGAATAGTCTGAATTGTGAAAATCTTCCACTTGTGTGCACAAAAAAGAAAAAAAAAATGATTTCACTATGAGCATTTGAATAACTTCTGACAGGGTTGGCAGTGAAGGGAAATCTCTTTAAATCTAGCCTTAGATGGATCAAGGCATGGAATGTTGTAAAACGTTTGATCAGTCGATACAGGGTGGGGATTATTCTCTTCACTTGTGTGGATGGAGGAGTCTTTTTTTTTTTTTTTTTTTTTTTTTTTTTTTTTTTCAGCCTAATGGCTGAACAATAAAAATAGTCCACCTTTTGGCCAGCTTTAGGCTGATGCCACTCAAAAAATGTAATTAGTGATAGGATCATTAGCAGAAAGCTTACATGGAGTTGCTTCCTTGCTAGTTGGACAAGCAAGTTGTCACTCCCTCCCTAGCAAGTGCCCGTCTGACATAGCTCTAATGGGGTCACAGGAAGCAAAACAACACTTTCCTCCCAGCATTCATCAGGGGACACTCTCAGCAGATCTCAAGTATTTGCCCTGCATTTAGAGGGTTGGTCACTAGGCTAAAACAGAAATCAGGCTTTTCTAATTACATTGTTGGTAAACCTAAAGGAAATTATAAAATATGATTGTAGCTTGTGTGGCCATATATAGAACCTCCATGGCAGGAGACCTAATAGTACAGAAGGTGGGAACATTGTTCCACAGTGCACTAGAAATGTTTTGATTGAAAGGTAATAAAAGAGAGTAGTGTTTGCCTTCTCTATCCTTTTACAGCATCTGATGTTTTAAGACAGGAGTTGCTTCGGAGGGCAGCGGAAATATATTCTCCAAAACAAATGTATGGTCCAGAGGTTTATATGTACTTTTCCAAAGTCCCAAAATGAATTGGGGTAATTATTTGAAATCTGAATTGTCTCTTGCCAGCTAAACGTTTGAAATCAGACTTGCATTGAAAAATGTTCGCTCAGTAAGCTGATGTGTGCTGGTGATAGATAACTTAGTTGATGGGATGACTTACAGCAGGCATAACCGTGTGCTGGTGTTCAACATTTTATTTATTCATTTTTTTTTTCAGGTACTTAAATAGCGCTGTCAATTTACGCAGCGCTTTACATATATATTGTACATTCACATCAGTCTCTAACCCTCAAGGGGTGTACAATCTAAGGTCCCTAACTTACATTCACACATAATAGGGCCAGTTTAGACCGTATCCAATTAACCTACCAGCATGTGTTTGGGGTGTGGGAGGAAACTGGAGTACCAGAAGAATCCCACGCAGACACAGGGAGAACATACAAATTCCAGGCAGGTGATTCAGTGGTTTGGATTCAAACCAACGACCTTAGTACTGCCAGACGGAAGTGCTAACCATTTAGCCACTGTGCTGTTATTAGGCCATAGACAAAGTTGGAGATGACAGAGGCATGAAGAGTGCAGTGTTTCAGGCCCTATAAAAAAAAAAAAAAAACATAAAACAATATCCTCCCTTTTTCATACTTTTGAAGCCATAAAGCACAGCAGAGCGGCTGGATCACAAGAGTTTGCAGACCTTTTGGCAGAACAATTTCTGTGTGTTTTTTAAACTGTTTTAGTTGTTTGGCTGGAGGAAACCTTTGATCTATTATCTCATTATGGCTCCTTTTTAAAACCTTTTTATTGCAAACCAACATTCATGCCGGATGTTTGTTTCTTCTATCCCTCTGCAGGATCATGACCGCAGAGTGCGGGAGGCCACTCAGCAAGCCTTTGAACAGCTGATCCTGAAAGTGAAGAAATACTTGGCCCCTCACTTGAAGAGTTTGATGGGCTTCTGGCTCATAGCACAGTGTGACACCTACTCACCGGCAGCCAGTGCTGCCAGGGCCGCCTTCGAAGCTGCATTCCCTCCTCATAAACAGCCGGAAGCCCTGACCTTCTGCAAAGATGAAATTCTGAATGTGAGTTGATGTAATTTCAGGGGTTACAGACCTGAGCAAGATGTAAACAAGTCCCCAATAACAACATTCTTGCATACCTGTGTTTTTTTTTTTTTTTTTTTTTTTTTAATCATTCAGGATGCATCAGGCTACTAAAAGTATTAAAACATTTCTGTGTGAGGAAGGTGCTAGTAATGCAAAATTTCAAGTGTCTGAGACGCTGCCCTTCTCTGATTTTTGAGCTGCATATATGGGGCACTGCCATCACTGATATGAAGCTGCAAAAGTTCAGCTTCATTATGTTGAAGAAAGTATACATTAAGAGAGTCAGAGCTGCAACTTCTGTCTCGGGTACTCCATTTACTTTCATGTAGTTTCTCTTAAACTGTAGTTCCAGTCTGCAGGGAGAGTCAGTCTGATTACTGCTAATACTACCTTTTTGATTTGCTCAATGTACTGTAAAATCAGTCCACTGCACCTACCTGTTTAGCAACTCCTGTATAAATAGTCAAGGGTAGGAGGTGTCTGTTAGGTTACCTAGACCCCTGATTATTCAAGGCGTGTATCTGTATCCAGTAGGGAAGCTGTCAGGTGCATTGAAGAGGCTGGTGTAGTAAAACGCACATTGTGGCAATGTGCAAAAGAGAAAGGCATGTACTGGAGATAACATAACCAAACAATTGTTATTTGAGGAACTGATTAACCACAAAATACACAGGATCAATGACAGGATGCGTGACTTGGCAAGATCATGAATCTACAAGTGGGGGAGTTTGGAATTCCATGGAGAGGATCCCAAATTGATATTATAGCTGCCTGTGGGCCTGAAAGCAGAGCTGAGGGTCCTGCATTAATAAGTAAACATTTAGCCAGGTGGGCTAGCATTTTTGAGGGGCAGTGTTTGATGATGGCTGGAGAGGACATTTAAGCTGGTCATTCATTTAAAATAGATGAGCTGATTTGTGGCATGTACAGTGGATATAAAAAGTCTACACACCCTGTTAAAATGTCAGGTTTCTGTAATGTAAAAAAAATTAGAAAAAGATAAATTGTTTCAAAACTTTTTCCACCTGTTTAATGTAACCTATAAACTGTACAACTCAGTTGAACAACAAACTGAAATCTTTTAGGTGGAGGGAAGTAAAAGTAAAAAACTAAAATAATATGGTTGTATAAGTGTGCACACCCATAAACTAATACTTTTTTGAAGCACCTTTTGATTTGATTCCAGCACTCAGTCTTTTTGGGTATGAGTCTATCAGCATGGCACATCTTGACTTGGCAATAATTGCCCACACTTCCTTGCAAAAACTCTCCAAATAGGTCAGATTGCGAAGCTTCTCCTGTGCACAGCCCTCTTCAGATCACCCCCGCAGATTTTCGATTGATTCAGGTCTGGGCTCTGGCTAGGCCTTTTCAAAACTTTAATCTTCTTCTAATGAAGCCATTCCTTTGTTGATTTGGATGTATGCTTTGGGTCGTTGTCATGCTGAAAGATGAAGTTCATGTTCAGCTTTTTAGCAGAAGTCTGAAGGTTTTGTGCCAATATTGACTGGTATTTGGAACTGTTCATAATTTGCTCTACTTTGACTAAGGCCCCAGTTCAGGCTGAAGAAAAACAGCCCCAAAGCATGATGCTGCCACCACCATGCTTCACTGTGGGTATGGTGTTCTTTTGGTGATGTGCAGTGTTGTTTTTGCACCAAACTTTTGGAATTATGGCCAAAACGTTCAATCTTGGTTTCATCAGACCAGAACACATTTCCCACATGCTTTTAGGAGACTTCAGATGTGTTTTTGCACAATTTATCGGGCTTGGATGTATTTATTCGTATGAAAAGGCATCCATCTTGCCACTCTACCCAATAGCCCAGACATATGAAGAATATGGGAGATTGTTTTCACATGCACCACACAGCCAGTACTTGCCAGATATTCCTGCAGCTCCTTTAATATTGCTGTAGGCCTCTTCGAAGCCTCCCAGACCAGTTTTCTTCTCGTCTTTCATCATTTTTGGAGGTACGTCCAGTTCTTGGTAATGTCACTGTTGCGCCATATTTTCTCCACTTGAAGATGACCTTAACTGTGTTCTATGGTATATCTAAAACCTTGGAAATTCTTTTGTACCCTTCTCCTGACTGATAACCTTTTAACTATGAGATCCCTCTGATGCTTTGGAAGCTCTCTGCAGACCATGGCTTTTGCTGTAGGATGCAACTAAGAAAATGTCAGAAAAGACCTACTAGAGCAGCTGAACTTTATTTGGGGTTAATCAGAGGCACTTTAAATGATGGCAGGTCTGTACTGACTCCTATTTAACATGATTTTGAATGTGATTGCTTAATTCTGAACACCGCTACATCTCCAGTAATAAGAGGGTGTGCACACTTATGCAACCATATTTTTTTTGTTCTTTTATGTTTACTTTACGCCCCCCCGCCTCCAAGATTTCAATTGAGTTGTACACATTAAAGGTGGAAAAGTTCTGAAATGATTTATCTTCTGTCTTATTTTTTTTACATCACAGAAACCTGACATTTTAACAGGGGTGTGTAAACTTTTTATATCCACTGTATATCTATTCACATAGATATAAAGTTGAGTTAACCCACTTTCCTGAATTGTTGTGTGTTCCAACAAAGAATTGTTTATCTGGTATAGAGCAGCACTAAAAGCAGAAGATTATCTGAAGAGATTACATCTGCACATGATGTGCAATAGCCATACACTAAAGTTTATGTCACCTAATTGTCAACAGTTGGTGTGAATTGTACATTTGCCATTCATGTGGAGTTTCTAAACATGCTGGGCACTGTATAAACCATTACACCGTAATTGCAAGCATAAGCCGATGTTTAGCATTTTGTAGCCAGGCTTTTTTTCCCATCTTTGTTTCATCCATGCTATTAATGACTGGGCTGCACAGCTGTCTGCACTTCATACATGAAAACGTTTTTTTTGTGGCATGGGTGATTCTTCATTGGACTAATATATAATCAAAATCTAACTTCACATTCTGCCAGTATTTACATTATTTGTCAGTTGAAAATATGATCATTTCAATGCATTGTGTAGAAAGAACCATGCGTCCTATATGGTTCTTTGCAGGGAAAGCCTTTGACAACTTTCTAAAATTTAAAATACATGTTGCTTTTCTAAAAATAAAATACATGTTTTACCAATTTTTCATCATATGTGCATCTCAGTGTTGCTGATTTTTCAGCCCCTTTGCAGACTTTTCCTGGCTACATGCACTCTAGTGATGACTGCATAGCACTTCTTAAGGCAGCTTTACTAATGTTGACAACAGTACACCATGACAGTGTAATATGTAATCTATATTGAAGCTGCCACTTGTAGTCTCTATTGGAAGCCTGTGTGGCTGAGTGATAACGCAGGAGCACAAATGGAAGATGGGGATTAACATATGTCATCCTGTAGCACGAAATGCCTGAACAAGGGCCTTCTTAGTAGAGTCACTGCTTATTTCATTGAATGCTGCAGATTTTAAAATCTTGAAAAAGAAATGACATGAACATGATAAACCTTGTGAGATTTTATTGATTGGGTTTACCTACACTATATGGTATGCAGTATAATATTGATTCCTCTGAAATGGACTGTTCCAGTATCTGTTGTATGTCAAGAATATTTTTATAGAAACAGTATTGCAATACAAACAGAAAAAAGTTCATTGCAGGGACAAATATGAGGATGGTTTGTATGATTTGTAATAAAAACACCAGTTTTACTGTTATTATTGTTTGTCACCCCTGCTGGGTTATGGTTTCCAGGAACCCTCCGATGAAATAATATACACATCTGTTATTGTGCTCAGCCTACATCTCTTTACAGAACAAGACGTTATACTTTGTTGGCATTAAGTTAAGCCAGTTATTACATGAGGTCCTAACCCCCAACATCTGTTGAGGTTTGGCCACCTATAGATCAAATGCTTGGATGGAATGCACACTAATCTGCTTTACATCCTATCAAGAGAAAAGTTTCCTCTATGGACTCATTTTGGACTTGGTTTTGTTTGCTCTTTTCTTATTTTTCTATTTTTTAAGGGGCCAGTTGACATGAAAGTGTATCTAAACCCAAGAAAAATACTTTGCAGCTTACCAGTCCTTCGGTATGGTAGCTGCACTAGTTTTCCTTTTTTCAGGGTTTTTATTGTATATAATCTGGTGATCCTGCCACTTACTCACTGAACTGTATCTATGGAACAGCATTGTCACCATATGACAGGACTACAGACTTCTCTTTTTCTTACTCTCTAACATTGAGGGTATGGGAATAACCTTTCCTAACACCAGTATTCCTCAGTTTTTTTTTCTTCTAGTGTCTTTAAAAGGATGGATGTCTTTTCTCAGTTCCGCTAATTTAAGACGTAACTTGCTTTTATCTAGCTTTTTATTCTCTGCTAAGGTTCTTCTCTGTGTATTTGCAGATCTCTTTGCTTTCTAACAGTTGCCCAGTGCAAATGTCCTCACTCTTGACTTCTTGTCTTACTGTGAATGGACTCTGCTGGATCAGGCATTTTGGGGGTGAACCTGGATGTGACTCTGGGGCATTGAGTCCTGTTTGAATGCCTTCCAGACTGGTTCTAGAAACTTCACCATAGGAAGAGTCCTAAGGAGCAGGCTCGCAAGCTTCACTATGCCTTTGACGCCAATGCCAAAAACTTAAAAAATGTGTTCTTTTTCCACCCCCAAGACCTGGCATTCTAATGCTCTCACATCCTTTTGACAAGCTCTTCTCCGCATGAATGCTCGCCTCCAGTTTACAAAGCTGGTGGGACGTCTGATGGCCTTAGCATTTGCATGCAAGTCTTGTATATTTGATGCTTTGGTGGAAGAGGTGATGTCACAAGTTTTCAAACTAAAGTTTCATTCCCTGCCACCTCCTCACCTTCGTACTGGATGGCCCCAGGAAGGCTGCTCCAACTTTTCATTCCACCATTTTTTGGTGGTACAGACAGATCATTGTTCTAATCTAATGCACTCCAGCCCCTCTTT